ACCATCAATAATGGCCAATATCCATTTTATAGAAAATTATTCATTATTAATTAGGGGAAAAAAAGCACATAAATATTTTATTTATAAACAAATATATAATTCATTATCCCAATTCTATAGTAACATAGTAAAACTATATGCCGCTAGATTTTTAAATTTAATAAGACAATAAATATTAAACGTATGCTTTGGCTTAAAATTTGTACATTTTGATATTACAGTTGAATAAACATAAATGAAATATTCATTCTATTGTTAATTAGAAAACTGGATGTAATAGTAATGATTTGTTACTTAAGTCACCTTCATATATAAGATATTGATAATCCTTATTTATAACTTCAGTTAGGAATGTCGAATATCTATTTTCTCTTATTTGAAATTTCATTCAATACTATATTCAATATATAAGTAATTCTCAACAGTATATATATATATATATATATATATATATATATATATATATATATACATAAACTAATAGATATTTCAATAAACTTGGTTCTATTAAATTAGTAAATAAATTGACTTTAAATTATTTTAAATTTTATGTTTAACAAGAAATCATATTAATACATTTGACTATCATTCTAATTTAAAAACATTCATCGTTCCTCTTTAAATGAAACTATAATTTAAAAATATAAAATTAATGAAATATTATACTTTATACTTTTATTTATAAAAATAATCAAATTTACCACCGATGTATAGAAAGTCTATATTTTCATACTAAATCGGGTTTTAAAATTATTTTATAACATTAAGATTATTATTAGTAATATTTATTCATAATATTGTCAAACAAAAAAATATGCTTTTAATTTTGTATTTGATATAATTATTAGTGAAACTTTCAATATGCTGATGAAAAAATTAAAAAAAATTTTTTATGATTTATAATTTGGTGAAAAATTATTTAAATATCAATTAGCGTTATTTACATAAATAAGCCTCTACTACTACATAAAGACTGTTAAGATTATTTTTTAATAATGAACCAACCGGTAATTAGATAAATTTGTTATGTATCAACTTTAAATAAGCAATGATTTGTGCTGTTTTCTATCTTAATCATCAATGATCAATCTTTAAACAATAATTATTATTTGCATATATCCATGACTGATAGTTTTATAAATATGTTGATGTCTTTAACTGTCACGTGGTCATTGAGAAAGTAAGAAACATTATTAATTATTTTCATAAGTTTTTCATAAGTTTATTGAAATTTATTGCTTCAAAAATTTATGTAGCTAAATTGAAAATTTAAATTGACACTTAAATAATATCTTCAATTCGGTATTAGTTTGTGCATTATATCTGAATAAAAAATAAATCTTATATCCTGAATATAGATTTTCTATTCTTAATTTCTATCAAAATTATCTGTCAGGGTACAATGCTTAAATGGACATTTCTAATGTTGAATTTTGTATTTTTATGTGTTGTATTGTTAATATATTTAATTATGTATTTGTTAATAAAGTTAATAATAAAGCAGATGAGAAAAATATTATCGATTTGAAGTATTCTACTATATATAGTACTACATATAAGAATTCTGATTATTTATTTTTAATAGGCAATGAATTGTATAATTACAAATTGTTTCTAATTATTAATGTCGTTTTCTTTTAGTTTATGGAAAATTACATATCTGTTGATAATTTAAGAATACCCCAAGTAGAAAAGAATTGATTGTAGTCAGACATCCGTTTAACATAATATTTTAGAATCTAAATAAAATATATTCAATTTTAAAAATGCGTAAAATATGATTTTTACCACAAATATTTAAATAATAAAATAAACTATAGTAGTTAGTATAGAATTCTATTAGTATTAATAATTTTATCATTTATTCTATTAACAGTTTGTTCTATGCATTCTAATACTAGTAATATTAACAAAATTTGAAGAATAAGATAGACCGATTTAAAATATTTTATAGTTTTTACTTTTTACTTTAATGTATAGTTTCATGAACATGAATTTATTTTGATAAATAGATTTTTTTAACTTTACTTACCACTGTCATAGTCGTTAAAATGATTATTACATTTTAATGTTATTACAATTTGTGCAACGATTAATTGATAAAACCATCGATACATTTTTTTATATGTAAATTAAAAGTTAGGCCAATTTTTTAACGACTATGTATAATCTGTATAATACCTATTTTATCATTATTTTGCAAAAGTTTATGTATAATAATGTCTTTTACTTATTAGAGTATTTTAAAAGGAAAAAATATCAACTAATTGATATAATGTTATAATTTTAAAATTTATTACCATTTGAAAAATTACGTTAACATAACATATGCTAAAAAGTCTAAATATATGAAAATTGGTTTATTTGCAATCAAGCTTGAATTTAACAAATTTAATAATATAATTATATTTTACATGCCAAGCTTTGATGCATAATAAATTAAAAATTTTAATTATTAACATTATAATAAAGTATTAATTAATTTTTTAAATGCTATTAAATGATCTTCAATTCACACACACACACACACACACACATATATATATATACATATATATTATATATATATATAACATAATATATTATATTTTCAAAGTAATATTAGCGTTTCTTATAAATATTAAATAATACAATTTTAAATTGACGAGTTTTAATATAATAGAATTTATTTAATTATTACTAGAATGTGCTATGCTATTAAACTTTAATTTATACAAAAATTCGCGAAGATATTGCATTATGTAAAATGGTTAACATCAAGTAAACATAAATAAAAAATTTGCCTATAATTATCTATGTTTTTACAGAACATTTTACTTTAATCTAAAGTTTGAAGAATTTTTTTATATTTTCTTATATTTACCATATAAGTATTTTCTAATTTCTCTTATCAAGATAAGTACTGATGATACTATCGTATTTTCATTCATTTGTATTTTATATTTTACTCTCACAATTATATTATATAAAAAAGTATTTTTTCTATAATACATTCATTTTAAACATATTTTAATAATTTTGAATTATTTCACGTGTCAGTAAGTTTTTATGACACATTAAGTTATTTAATTATTATTCAACCGCATCAGTAATATATGAATATTTATTAAATTTTTAATTTCAAGCTTATCCTAGCGTTTGTTAATAGATATTTCTAAAACTTTTACTTTTACTTACTAGTATAATCTTTTTAGTAAATGTTATTATAGTAGCTTTTTATGTTAACTGCAGAAAAAGTTAAAACTTTATTATATTTATAATCAATAAACTAACGTGTTTTTCCTTAAGCGAGTGACATGAAAATAATTTAATAATCTTTTATCAGCAGTGTTAAATGCTTAGTTATTATGAATAGTTTTATTTGTCAGATATTGAATTCAAAATAAATTGTTAAATTCTAATTGAATTAAGAGGAAGATAATAGAAAGTAAAATAAGAAAATGTTTTAAGAAAGCGAGTATTCTTTTTATTTTAAGTAACTACAATCTCTTTAAATCTTATAAAAAATTCGTATATTTTGACATCTTATCAGAATTTTGTATCTCGTTAAATTTATATGTAATAAAAAGCTTTAGCCTTCTGAGAAATTAAAAAGATATATACTGAAATCTTTCAAAACATTCAATAGTTTCTCAAATTAAAAGCTTTATATAAATAAAATTGTCTATAATTAAATTTATTATTTGATTATAGGGTTTTTCGACTAAATATAACGTACAGATAGAGCTATTAAAAAATTCAAACATATTTATTTGATTTTAATATATATTATGAATGAAGGCATTTTTTTTTATTAAGTTTTTTGTCAGCATAACATTATTTTATTTAGTAGATTTTCGTTTGAAGTCAAAAATAGTTTTTCCATTCAATGTATTCTTTTAAGATTTCAAATTAAAGTGATAAAGAATTGGAATCATAATGATGATCATAATATAAGCAAGTTAAATTCAGGATTTTATAAATAAATAATACATTAAACGCCTGTGACTTACAAATAAATAAATTATCAAAATCTGTAAAACATAAAATAAAATAAGAAAATATTTTTCATGAACGTTAATGCTTATATTTTTTAAGCAAACACGCTCTTTTTTTATTATAGATTTACATTGTACATATCCTTCTTTTGTTTTTATAAATAATTTTACACAGATGTCAATACTAATCAATGTTAGCATAAAATGCATTTAAAAATAATTTTACTTATTATCATTGATAGTTTATAATACATATTGATATTTTCTACATGAAAAATTTTCAACAAGTATTCAGTAGTAAAAAAAATCCAATCTACATTACTTTTTTCACATCCAGCTTATATTGTTTATTTCAAAATAAAAATTAAAAATAAAACAAAGCGTCATTTGTTGATAAGATAATTAAATGATATTTTTCATAAATATGATAATTCTGTATCATTGGTAGAGAAGTACTAGTATAAATATAGCGTTTGATAAAATGAACGATTTTGATTAAAACGCATATGTGTGGAGATTATGCAAAGTCGTATGCTTAACACGATTACAACTTTCTGGCGATCGGATGAACGAATATTCATAAAAAATCGCTATAACTTTTCGAACATACAACAGTAGCAAGGGCACGTAACTTAACGATTCTCGGAGCGCAAAACCCGTCAAACCGGCGCAACAAATCACTGCGATTCCACATCCATGTATATATTCGGTCACCTATATACATACATATATACATATATACATATATACATATATATATATATATATATATATATATATATATATATATATATATATATGCATATGTATATGTATATAAGCAGTCGATGCCGTATGTATGGGTATACGTACGTAGAGAAAGAGAAACCGTCGAAGAGGAGAAAAGTCTGGCAAGCGAGAGAGAGAGAGAGAGAGAGAGAGAGAGAGAGAGAGAGAGAGAGAGAGACGCTGTCACAAAAGAGAGGGGGGAGAAA